TGTTGGAATCCCTGCATACTTACTTCTTTCTGAGCAAAGTTGGTTTATAAAACCAGTTGTTACAGGACTGCTTTATGGCAACTCTTCTAAAATTCCCAATCATTTTTCCCTTTAAGTAATTTGGCACCAGACCTCGGCTGTTTGGAAGTTGTCTTGTTCCCTCAAACACATTTTGGAATGTGCAAACAGTCCAGATAATAAAATTGTGCTGATAACTTGAGTCACTAAAAAATAGAGCCCTTCATGACTATCCCAGGTGTCAGCTCCATCATATACCTTTCTGCGAAGCCTGCACACCTGAGTTTGGCTGAGCCACCAGCACGCTCCAAGGCTGCTCTGGACTCAACCTTCTCCCTAGCAGCGAGTGCATCCGCAGGGTCTCCACGACACTCAGCTCTCCTGTGTCCGTGGCCGAATCCAGTGTTCAGGGCACTAGATGGGCCACAGTCATGTCCCTATCAGGGTCTGACCCACCTAGAGGTCAGCAGGTGATGGCAGGACTTGGAGAGCTGACGGCAGGAGGAAAGGACCCCAGAGAGCGTGGGCCCACTCCCTTCAATGCCTCAGTTCCCCTGCTCCAGGCAGCCTGCTACAGCCAGTGTAGACACCTGGTCCTTCATTATCCTGTCCCCCCATTCCTCTCAAGATGATCAGAGTAAACATTTTTGGATCCAGTTTCCAGAGCTGTTTGAAAGGTGGGGAGTGAGCAGGCATGTGTGCACACACACACATACACATGTATGCACACACATGCACGCAGACCCCACATCTCCTCCCAGTGCAAACCCCGAATCTCAGGGCTTGGACTCCGTCCGGCTCCTTTCCTTTGACAAAACTCAGACTGTTGAGAGGGGAAATTTGAGTCAAAACAAATCAAACAATTGTGCTGCAGGTCGTGAGGCTGTGTGATTAAGCTGGCCGCAAATAGCATGCGGGGACTGGCCGTCAGAGGGCACGGAGTAAACCTGCTTGTCTTTGAAAGTTTCCCTTTAAAAGAAATATTTGGGTTCCAGTATCGACCGGGAAGCGGCCACCTGCTGACCTTGACTCAGGAAGCAGATAACGCCCCACCACCTGCAGCCCCAGGCCTCCCACTCCGGCCATCCCGCCCCCTAGTCTCCCGGCTCCATCCGTCCACACAAATTGCAGACTCCCCCACACCCTCTACCCCGAGGACACAGAGCAGCTCTCCTCCCTGCCTTAGCAGTCTACATGGCATCCTCAACTCTGCATAAGAGCACAACAGCGCAGCACCCCCTGCGTCCCCAGGTCTGTTCTTGGACTCCCTGCCCGCACTACCGCCCACACTACCACTGCCGCTGGAGCAAATGTGAGGAGTAACTCAAACGCGGGGCAACAGCTCTAGGCTCCTCTTGGCTCCAAGGCTGTGCCATTGTTTCTGGGAAGCGCCTCCCAGCTTGAACAATTGTCAGCATAAGACAGGATTACACCGTAAGCATCCTTCTTGTGTGACTTTAAACTTTTCATGAATCCTGAAGGCTGAAAGAGCCCTGGAACTGCACTCCTTGCCCAGTCTTACCGTGACCAGCCTGCCATGAAGTGGGCAGTGGGCCCCACAGCTTCTCTTCCTGGCATTTCTGAAGAATTTGGGGTCTGCTTTGACCCCCTGAAACCATCAAGAAAGAGGAAGCTGAACACAGAGGGACATGAGCTTAGAGTCAATGTGATATCAGCATCCTGTCAGGACAGGAGGAGACCTGCTGTGCTGCTTCCTCAGGACCAAGGCTCATGGGTCCCTCTGTCCCCAACCCCGTCCGGAGAACCCACCACCTCCCCCGAGAACGCGCCTCCTAACAGTCGCGCTGTGGCAGAGGGTCCTGCAAACATGACATCACCTTCTAAATATAACAGCAGATGCGAGAGCCACATGCCTACAACATCAGAAAAGCAATTCAAATGCAAAACCAAAGCCTTGCCTTCCAAGTCTTTGTGCGGATTCTCTGTAAATGTGCACCACATGTCGGCTGTTTACAGAGGAGAGGTCCCTACTCTTGGGATCACACATGTGGCAGACACGCCAGCCTCATGAGGGAAAGTTGGGGAGCACTCACCCAGCGGGGCCCGGGTTCCTGCACAAGCTGCCCAGCGGGTCAGAGCAGGAGAGGCGGGGAACCACTGAGCCCGAGGCTCGGGGGCCCACGGTCCTGCCTGGGGAAGAGGGCACCTGCAACCAGTGATCACCTTCCCAGAGCCGGAGGACAGTGCAAGAATCAAAACAGATGTGCAGACTCACCGGCTTTGCGACGTTCCCTTGGTCCTACGTCATCGCCTCCTGTATACACACCTTCATGTACACACATGTCTACACATACATACACACGCCTATGCGCACGCACACACACCACGGCCCAGGTGTGGTCCTGAGGATGACAGGCTGTCATCAAAGCTGTTGGGGTTTGTGTGGGAATTCATGGTGGATCAGGGGGCAGGGGATTGGGGAAGGGACACCTAGGATGACTGGCACCTGCCCACCTTGCTCTTCCCACCTCCCCAAGAAAGAGGTGCCCCCTTGTACCTCCCCCACCCCTTCCTACGTGCCCAAGATCCCCCACACTCCACTCTGGCTGCCTCATACCCCAACCATGCAATGCAGCCTCTCACCCAATTTTCTCCCCCCTGTCTTGGGCCTGTCGGTCACTTGGCCTGGGCTCACTTCTTCTAGGACTGCTGATCACCTTCCCCTCCTGTTCACCCCTGTCAGGATAAGCAGTAGGCCAGTCACTGTTTTAAGAGCTGGAGGCTCAGAGCTACCCTCCCCAAGCTTGGGGCCCGGACAGAGGGCACCAGCCTGATGGTCAAAGGCTCTCATCACTGCCTGTGGGTCTGGGCGTGGGTGGGAGCTGGAAGAACTGCTGAATCACCAGCCCAGAAGGTGTCTGCAGCTCTGTGTCCTGGGCTCCTAACCCATGTTTCTCTTTGAATCCTGCTTTTCATCTGTAAAATAAGATTAAAACTACCTACATTATACAGGCCCCATAAGAATTAAGCGAACAACATGTGGAAGTGTTCTATAAGGTGAAAATTGTATTTTGCAAACATTATGATCATGACCAGGAGTGAAGTGAGGATGCAGAAGCAATCTGTTGGAAAAGACAAAGAAAAGAAAACCCAGGAGGAACCCAGTATTAAAGTGTAGCAGCAGCCTGCTCTCTGTGGGGTTCCTCTAGGCAACCCTCAGCCCCCAGCCACATCCACCTTCTGATCACTCCCTAAAATCAAGGCTTGTTCCTCGGATTTCTCACACTGAAGGTCGATCACCTGAATCAGGTAGAAGAGCTCTCGTCCATTCTCCCCCAAGCTGCTTTCTGTCTCAGAAACCAGTGGCCCAGATGTCAGGAGCATGCCCTTACTCTCTACTGAGCCATCGGAAGAATCTCAAAACTCTGTAATTTTATTCTCACTTTTATGAAGTTTGAATGAATTCAGAGCTTGAACAAATATATTTTCTGTCCCAACAGCTGCATTTTTTTTTACAAGAAAGCTGAAAACAGAATCCAATAAGGTGAATTAACTTTAGCATGAAGTGTATAGTAAGGCAGGGGCTTCCCAGGTGGTGCTATAAGAACCACCTGCCAATTCAGGAGACACAAGAGACACAGGTCAGTCCCTGGGTCGGGAAGATCCCCTGGAGGAGGGCATGGCAACCCACTCCAGTATTCTTGCCTGGAGAATGCCATAGACAGAGGAGCCTGCTGGGTAGTAAGGTCACTGTGTCCTACACAGAAATACACACGACTGCGCCACCCCAGGGGGCTCCTGCCCGGCTTCCCCATGCTCTCTGCATACATTCCCAAAGGGGAAGAAGATGTACTCCGTCTGGAAAGTGAGAGATGCTCTAGAAAATGCAACACTGCAGACCTGGGGGAAGTGAACAATGTGGCCTTCTGCTCATTCTGAAAGCAGTATCTATCCTTTCCCCTCCCACCCCCACCTTCTTTCTGCCTATCAGGAAATGTTCCTAAAGCCTCATGTGGGTAGCAGGCTGGCCCTGTAGCTGGGAGCTGCATCCACTGTGCCTGCCAGGGGCCCACCTCAGGGCCGGGGGATGAGGAGGTCACAGGACGATGCTGCCACCTTATTCAGGTCCAGACCCAGGGATGGCCCAGGGCCGCATGGTGCTGCCACAGCCCCTCAGGCCCCGGAGGCTGGCTCTCCGGGCCTCTGGGATTAAGAACAGAGCCTGCAGGGCTGAACGTTTTGCCCCACGCCTGGTGGATGGTGAGGGATCCCAGAGCCGGAGAAACCGAGCTGATGTTTCCCAGGGAGATAAGCAGAGGACAGGCTCCGCAGAGCCTTCAGGGAGCAACGCCAGGCACACACTCCAGAAGGTCCCCGGCCACTCCAAAGATAAAGACATAAAGCCCTTGAAGATCTGAATTCCTGCCTAACTTTATCAAGACGGCCGACTAAGACAAAGAGGCCATTCAGCAACTCTGGGAAGGAGGCTGCTGTTTCTCAAACTGAGCAGCTCCCGGGGTTTCAGGAAGGGGTCGGGGCATCCCCACTCCGTCGCTCTGCAGCCGGCATGGCTGTGCTCTTCCACCCACGAGCCTGAGGACCCCCCATGGAAGCCCTGCGAGGCAGCGCTGGGTTACCCCCTGTTTACAGATGGGGAAACTGAGTTTCAGAGGTGAGCAGACTGCCCAAGTTTGCAAGCCTGAGGCTTGACTGCCCTGCTGTCTGCCTGCTGCCCTGTCTCTGTGTTTAAAGGAGACAGAAACCCACTCAAACCAGCAGAAACAGCCAGGACCACACTGCGGAGGCCCCAGGCTGACCCTCAGAGTCTGCGGCGCCACCTCGGGCCACTCTCGGGCCCTGAACTGAACATCATGAGGGGAGGGGGGTGGTCTGTGGTGCTGGGAAGGTCTGAGGTCGGGGTCCCTCCAAGAGGAGGAGGCGGGGAAAGGCGGCCTCCCCACCTGAAAGCTCAGCGTGTCTGAAGGTTGGGCAGGGAGGTCGGGTTTGGGAGAAGCACAGACTCACCCCAAGACCAGAGGACAGGAGGCCAACCTTGAGCAGACCTTGCAGGCCAGGGCTTTCAGCTGGAAGACACCAGCTTGTATTTTTAAATATTTTTCATACCTTTGTACCTTTACCTTATCAAGAATTCCAAATTTTATTACATGACTACTACCTAATGGCAACCAAGCTTTACATAAAAATGGAATTAACATTATCTGCAGGAATAATCTGCCCTCACAATCAACTGGAGCTCTAAGTAGAAGGGTGTCAAAGTCGGGAAGTGCCCATGTACTGTGTGGACTCTGGACAAACGCGAGCGCCTGGCTTACTTGTTGAATAAACAACATCTGCACCTTAGTCTCTTCACTGGCTCATCAATTCATACCGATTTCTCATGAGTCAGTGCGAACTTATTTACACGTTAGAGATAATATGATTGCAGACGTCTGTTACATCAGTGTTTAACTTTTACGACCCTCCAAGTGATATCAGTCTGCCAGCTTCCCACGTAAGACGGGCTTTGCTCTGCGGCTCGGTTCAGCATCACGTATCGCCTGCCTGTCAGGGACATACAGCAGGCATTAGGGATAAACCTAAGTAAAATAACACCCATTCTTGTTCTCACAGGAGGAAAGACACATTGTGTACTGTGATGAAGGGGAGCTCACAGTCTCTGGAAACTCAAACGGGTTCTTAACTCAATCTTGAAAGGGGAGCAATGTAGGCCCAAAAAAGCAAACAATAAAGGATGGGAGTTTGTTTCAAGCAGAGGGGACATAGAATGGGAGTGTGGGCAGAGGAGGCAGCTGACATTTCTGGCCTGATGGAGGCAGCTCCTTCTAGCAGATTCTCATATGAGTCACAATGTAAGCCATGGTGTGACCTAAGCTTTCCAGTAGCCACACTAAGAGACTAAGAAAAAATAGGTGAAATCAGTTTAAAATGTTTTTACTCCATTTATCTAAAATATTACCAACTCTACACATAACTGACACAAAATTGACTTTGCTGTTCAGTAGCTCAGTCATGTCCGACTCTTTGTAACCCCGTGGACTGCAGCACACCAGGCTTCCCTGTCCTTCACCATCTCTCATAGTTTGCTCAAATTCATGTCCATTGACTCAGTAGTGACATCCAACTACCTCTCATCTTTTGTTACCAGCTTCTCCTCCTGCCTTCAGTCTTTCTCTGCATCAGGGTATTTTCCAATGCTCTTTGCATCAGGTGGCCAAAGTATTGGAGCTTCAGCTTCAGCATCAGTCCTTTCAATGAATATTCAGGGTTAATTTCCTTTAGGATTGACTGGTTTGATCTCCTTGCTGTCCAAAGGACAGGGACAAAAATGACTAATGAGGCCTTTTACCATCTTTACACCCAAGGAGCATCTCTGCTTGGATTGGACAGGGTCTGCCCTGGATGTAGAGCCCAAGGTCACAGACTCAGGGCCAGGGAAGGGGAGGATCAGATAGGCTGGAGAAGTGAACAGTCCCATGAACGAATCACTGGAAGCGGGGGGAACAGAGGCGGAGAGGGGGGCTTGCAGGGTCAGCGCTATCTGAAGGAGGCTGACACTGGGGCCCAGAAGAAGGAGGTAGAGCTAGAAAGACAAGACCCTGAGGCTGAAGGGTGGGCTGAGTCTGGTGGATCTGCACGGGGAGCTCAGCCAGGGAGCCCAGTGGCAGACAGACAACAGGAACCCGGTCCTCGGTGCAGAGCCAGAGGCTGCAGGAGGCTGGCAAGAGCTCCTGCTATGCTCACTGCAGTGCAACTGGTCACACACAAGACACCCGTGCGTCACACACAGACGAGGGCACGTCCCTGTGTCACCGCACAGCCCTCTGCTCTGAGGGTGGAAGCAGCAGAAGCAGAGCCACCAGTTTCAAACTCAGGGCCGCACTGTCAGCACTTGGCTGCCTTGGGGAACAAGCTCCAGGGGCAAATCCCAGCTCACAAAGAAGAGGGTCCGGGGGGATTCTCCTGGGCTCCCTGGACCCCACCCTCTGCTTAGGGGATGGACACCACCTGCTCCCCACCTAGACCCACTGCTGGCAGTTTGGACCCTGCAGCTCACACCAGCCATGCACCGTGGGAAGGAACCAGCACCCATGGCTATGGGTGCTCCCTGAGAAGTGAGGTCTGGTCCTAGGAGACCGGAGCTGGTTCCACAGAAGCCTCCGGTTCTGGCTGGCCGTCCCTGGGGAGATGCCCACTGCAGCTGCCCCTACTGCTGGTCATTAGGTGAGTAGGTGGGCATGGGCCTCCAGCAGGTGTTCACCGTTCCTTCTAGAAAGGCCAGGTTCTGTCCGGGGCTGGGTTTGTCATGGACACCACCTGTCTGCCTGTGTGGAAAAATGTTCTTGAAGGGAATAGAGAGTAACAGAGGGGATGGGCAAGAACCTGCCTGACCTGCCGGGCAGAGTGTGGACAGGCGCCCCAAGGATCCACGTGGTGACCCTGGGAGGCAGTTCCCAGGCCGTGCAGGGCCATGCAGAGCTGTGCAGGTGTGTCCTGGGCAGCGCAGGGCACTGGGGCCAAGGAGGAGACAGCTGATGTTTGGGGAAAGGAAGCGGTCTTGTGCTCGGGAGGGAGGTCAGGGCTGCCCACAGCTTGGAAAGCCCAGACAGAGGGGACCAGGATGCTGAGAGTTGTCAGGAAACGTGGGCCAGCTGTGGGTCTGTGATTCGGGGAAGCTTTTGGAGGGGCTCTCTACAGGGTGTGGACACAAGGCTGTGGCCGACCAAAGGGAAGCAGGGAGACCTGGCGGAGGGCGGGGGGAGCGGCGGGGCCAACATAGGCCATGTGGGGTGAACCCAAGGACAGCAGTGGGAAGGGAGGTGAGGACCCCCAGGGGGCCACAGAGAGAGGAAACAGGCAGGAAGAGCAGCTGGGCATGCGGGCAGGGGGTGGACGGAAGTGCTCACGGGAGCCCCATTGTCTTACTCAGTGGTCGGAGTGGACAGTGGTCTCATTTCCTGAAATGGGATTTCTGCGGGGGAGGAGGGGGCACCACCACTGATGTCGTAGCCATGCTGCCTCTGAAATTCCCAGCAGGTGTCCTGGAGGGCAGGTGGCCGTAAGGGTAGGGCTCTGGGGACAGGCCCACAACAAACTAGGGCTTCTGAGTGACGTGGACCAGGTCCAGACAGGCCCCTCCACATGGGGGCAGGTGAGCCAGGCTGGGGAAGCAGGGTGAGCAGGCAGTGGGGTGAGCTGAGGCTGAGATGCTGACTCTAGGCTCTAGGGAGCCGGCCCTGCGCCTGAATGGGGGAGATCAAGGGCGGGCAGATGAACCCCTGAGAACCAGGTCGGCCTATCAGACTCTGGCATCTTCCTGTACCTAGACAAGCATTAAAGTCACTAACTGGTGGTATCTGTTTTCAGTGATCAGCAGATATCTCTTGCTGTTAACTGGATTTTTTTCTCAGCCAGGAGCTCCTATATATCCTGGTTCCTCTCTGACCTTTTCAGGATGGCCCCTTGAGCTACTGAGAGGCCACCTTTGGACTACAGTCCTCTGTACAGTCCCCAGATGAAACACAAATCATATATGTAGGCTGTGCCTTCTCATCTGTTCACACCCAGGAAGTTAACACTTGTCCACAGTGGTCCAGACCCCTCTCCTCCACTGAAGTGGGCAGGTGATAACTGGATGTTTCTGTGAAAGTCCCTGAAGCTGGGGGTGTGACAGGCAGAAGACCTACCAGGTCTACCAGTTGGCCAGATACCAGCCCCAACAGCTGAGCACAGGCAGGTAGGTGGGCTCCAGCCTCTCACCCCCACAAGTGGGGCTACAGACAAGGAGTCCCCAGGCCAGAAGAGGAGATTGGTGCGGTTTCAGTCTCCCAGGGGAACGGTGACAGCTATGTGAGGAAGGATTGGGTTCGGGCAGCAAGAGCAGTGAAGTCTCACGTTGCTTGTTCCCTCACTGTGAAAATCTCATCTTCTGTTTTCTTCTAAAGAGCATTATCTCAAAGGTTAGACTGATTCAGCTAAACTCTCCTAAAAAGTTTGATTATGGAAAAGTTTGATGACCACTGTCCTCTCCCTCTGAGCCTTTCCCTCCCCCCGCAACCCCGAGGTTAATCTTCAGTATGGAAACACCCTCCTCAGTCCTTCGGGATGTCCTCCCCCTCCAGCTCGTCCAAGCCCACAGCCAGGCTCATTCCTGTTCTCAGCAGAGGGGACGGGTGCCTCTGCCAGACTTCCTGCAGCTGCCTTCTCTCAGAGCCTGTGCTCCAGTTTCCCAACTTGAAAGGTGTCCCAGAAAGGCTTGCCTCATCCCATTACCCGGGGGAGCCTAGCATCCCCACGGACAACAGACAACAGCTGGTCCAGGCACAGGCATCCAAGCTTCTGAGGCCATGACCAGCAGACCGCGAGGACTGACTTGGGGAAGGCGAAGAGGCTTTCCCCAGCCACCAAGCGGGGCTGGGCGGACAGCAGAGCTGTGGCTGGGACCCGGGGTCCTGGTCCTGTCCGGAACATGGGCCATCCTGTGCCAGCTCCCGTGACCTCCTAATCATTTCCATCTTGGTAACGGCTGCCATATCACAGAGCTATGACTTCACAGGAGGCTGGGCCAGATGAGAAGCAGAGCTGCGAGCAAAGAATGCTTGTTAAAGCAGAGCTACTTTCGGTCATGGAAAGAGGAGTTTCAGAAACTGATCTGGCCAAGAGCTTCCTTCTTCATGTTCTCAAAATTAGAGCCATGTCCAGCCCCTGTGCTCACAACACCCAGGACAGTCGGGATAAACGAGCCTCCCAGAAACCTCGTCAACAGCAGCCTGGGGGATCAGCGGCCACCTGTCCTCCAGGACAGGGTCCTAAATTCCCCAGTCCACAAGCCTTCCTCCACACAGGAGGGACCAACTCTCTTACGATTTGGAAATAAAGAATGTTTATTCTCCTGAGGCCACGTCTCAGGGTGCAAAGTAGCTGATTTCTACAGACAAACACTGACAAACCATTTACTCAACCTGAGCAGAAATCAGGGCTGAGTGTCCAGCATGAAGGGCTGGAGGCAGGGACATGGGTGAGTAGCATGAAGAGGCCGCGTCGGTGTACTCTGCAGCCCCCAAGCCCCTCGGACCACAAGACGGACAGAGGGTGGTCCTGGCAGCGTGTCTCCGGGCCTGGGGGCAGGAGGGTCCCTCACTAGCACTGGTGTGTGGCTGCCCATGGCCACATGGATCAGGCAGCCAAAAACCACACCCCCGCTTTCAGAACCCCCCTCGCCTCCTCTCACTGCAGCAGAGTGAGAAGGCAGAGAGAATTGTGGCTGAGACCATTTCCGAGCAGAGTGGTCACTGCAGGGGACGGGGGCTCCCCACCGGAGGAGGACGCAGTGGGCAACCAGGTGGCCTCGGAGATGCTGCGGGCCGTGGGTGGGGGGGCTCACACAGGAAGCACCTCCTGTGAGTGAGAAGGAAAGTGTGCGGTCAGCACAGGGGTGGGCAGCTAGAGGAAGCAACCCTGAACCATGTCCTGAAACACAATGTGTCCGCGCTGACCAACCGAGAGCTGCAGGAAAAGTGTTTTGACTTGTATATCCTTTCCGCAGACAAAGAACTCTGTGTATCAGTATCTATTTAATCGGCTGTGCTTTCAGGACAGCTGCTGAGAGATGACCCCGGTCCTAAATCAGGACGGGGCTGATGCTAACACCGGATAAACACAAAACACCTGGCAGCATCTACACAGTGAACCCCACCGTCGGATCCAAGAGGCAAGTCTCAGCTGGCATCACACAGACCCCTCAGAAGACCAACAGCTCGGGAGGCTGTCCTGAACTCTCCTCAAGCCGCCTGTGTCCACTCACCTTCATCTGCCCCAGTTCTGAGAACTTCAGAAACTGACTCCACCTCACCTGTGAAATGAGAATGGTGCTAATACTCACCTGGTGGTCTGAGAAGCAAGGAGAACCATCTTGTTTGCACAACATCATCAGGAAAGAGAAGGATGCTTTGTTTTAGGTATGACTATGAAATAATCATAAAATAATACTACCTTTCTATTACAAGTACAGCAGAATCCCAAGTCTACATCCCCAACCTTTTCAAAGTAACCAGTTAAAATTTTGAAACTGGTACATTTGAAAATATTGAGCCACAGGAAACATGAATGATCTGCTTAGGTGATAATTTGATTCTGTTAAACTGAAGGTGTTCGGAAGACAGTGTCTGCTCAAGGCCGTCAGAAACAAATTCTTTTTCAACCGGCGGCTGCCAGCCGGGATGGAGCAGGAGGAGCAGCCCAGAGCCACAGGCCCCCAGAGGGCTGTTCCCTGTGTGGGCGGCTGTCCAGGTAAACCCTCACTTCCATGCTCTTCTCCACAGTGGCCTGGGGACCCCTCGGACCATTTACTCAGGAATTTGAAAGGATTTCTGTTTTTACTCTAGAAAAATTATGTTCACACAACAATGTGTATGTGAATGCTTTTGGAAGCATTATTTATAATAGCCAAAAATGGGGTCAACTCAGGTATCCTTCAGCCATGAGTGGTTACAGGAAAGGTGTTCCTTCCAGACTGTGGAAGATGCTCAAACTGGAAGGATACAGAGAGCGGACAAGGAGGACACGCCTCAAGGAATGATGCTCAGTGAGGACGCCTCCCACACACACTGGACAACACTCGAAGATGGAAAAGAGACTGTGCTTACCAGGGGTAGGGGTGGGGGTGACCCCAAAGGGAAGCACAGGGACCCTGTGCGGTCCCTGGGGATAAGTAAACCGATAAACAGACTCACCATGGGCAAGTCTGCAGCTGCACAAGCTCAGCTTTAGGTTGTGATGCGGAGCTGTCGGTCTGCAGGTTCATGGGGCGTTACCTAGGGAGACGGGGTGAATGGTCATGGGCGTCTCTGCATCGCATCTCACAACTGCACTGATTCTTCATCTCACATAAAAAGTTTAAAAGCATATACACACTACTCTGTGTATGTATGGAGAGAATATTTGGAGAGAATCGCCTACTGACTTTTATCAGTAAAGAGCCTCCAAGAACAGGTCAAAGACCCAGGCTGGGCCAGCTCCACTGGTGCCGGTCACCCTAGGGAAGTGCTCTGAGGCCAGGCCCTCACTCATCCTGGATGTGGCCCCCAGGCCTGCGAGGACACCTCTGTGTCTGCAGTGTGAACAGGTGGGGCCTCCTCCCTCACCCTCCAGAGTCACCACCCCAGGCCAGCCGTCCTGGACGACCCCCTCCCTGCAGGCCCGTTCCTGCTGTGCCTCCCAGCCTCTGTCACCTGTAGCCACTGGGGGTGGGGGTCCACGTGCCTCTCTGAAGGACCGAGGCCCCAGACAGGCCGAGAAGCCTGCTCCAGACCTAGAGCCCGGACTCAAGCACAGAAGGACGGCGAGCAGCCATGGGCCCTGCCTGACACGTGTATGTGGAAGTGTGTGGTCAGCTCTGTGTCCAGCACAGAACTTGACCTGTCTGGGGTCCTGGCTGCAGTGATGATGGGCTTGCACCGTGGTGATCACACTGACCCAGGTGGTAGAAGGGACAGGCTCTCCGGAGAGGGCATCCATGTCTCAGGTTCCCTTCCTGTGACTCTGCCCCATGCTCTCACTGGGACCATATATGCAGACGGGTGGCCAGCGAGATGGGGCCCAGGCCACTGACTGATGGGGCCGTGGGCAGTCCGAGGGCCAGCCAGGCCTCCTCCCCTCTCTGCAGACAGCAGTCAGGCCTCATCCAGACCCCGTGGGTAGACGGGCACCTCCTGGCCTTCCCTCATGCTCTGTGATGAAAAACAGGAGGAAAACAGCCGGATCTGAGCTGCCTCTGAACAGGATGCGTGGGGGTGTCGCCCGAGTGGAGTAGAAGGATGGAGTGGGGTCACGACCCTCCCTCGGGAGGTGGGTGTCATTCGGGGGTGGCCTTCCTGCTGACACTCCGCTTCCCAAGCCCACTGCTGTCTGTGACCCACACAGTCATGTTAACACAGAGACACACGGGAGGAATTCAGGTGTAAAAACCAATGACTAGACACCAGCACTCACGTCTACAGTCACGAGGGTGTTTACTCCGCGTGCAGTCACTCATGCCTCCCACCCTGCATCTTCCTGCCACCATCGCCGCCCACCCTGCCCACCTTGAGAAGTGGTCCCCAGAGGAGGCTGAAATACCCACAGGGGCCGGGGGGCTAGAGAGGCCAGACTCTGCACACAGAACCCTCCTGGGAGTCAGTGCAGGCTCAGGGGTCACAGCCCATGTGGGCCAGGCACTGGAAGGAAGCCGGCAGGGGGACAGAGGCACTCAAGGGATTCCTAGAGCCCCCACACCTCATGCCTGCTGGTTCCCCTGGGGATTCTCTGGTAATAACATGGAGATGCAGGACACCCTAGGTCAGCCTCCCCTGCTCTCATCACTGGTGAGGACATGAACCCCTCCAACCTGCGAATCCCCAGACATTAACCGCAGGATCAGAGATCAGGCCAGCAGTCTCCACGCAGGACAGGCTCAAACAGGAAAGTAGGTGCCTGGGCGGGCCCCCTACGGGGTGTGACCCTCTGGGCATGTGGTCACCACCAGGCGTCTGGTCACCACTCACCACCAGGCTGATCAGGCTGACAGCAGGGGTCCGTCTCCATGCCCAGGAGCATAAGGGATGGGGATGGGGGCTTCCCTGCAAAGAAACCCACTCTCGCTCGCAGACTCAGAGTAGGGTCACAGAGAGGCTGTGTGACCTCCAGCAGAATGCCTGACTCCCCTGAGAGAGCCCATGGTGGAGAGCAGCCCCATAATAAAGAGCTGACACCAGCACTCCCCTCCATCTGCAGGAGGGACCCAGACACCGGCATTCCTGCCCTCTGTTTCCTCTGCCTCCACTGCGATGTTTTGGGAACCTCTCCGCTGGCCACAAGTTTATATAACCTCTCATCTGCCAATTCTCGGAGAGAAAAATGCTTGAGGTTTTACAGAGCAGTTACGTTCACATAAAAACAACATCAAATCCTGCACTGTAATATGCAAAATAAATCCAATTTTCATCACTAATGATAATAGAAGGAAACACCATTGGAAAGAAGGCTGTTTCGTGCCTATAACCGTAAAGAGACTGGTAACTGTCAGAGAGCCTCTTGATGAAAGTGAGAGAGGAGAGTGAAAAAGCTGGCTTAAAATTCAACATTCAAAAAACAATGATCATGGCCTCTGATCCCATCATGGCAAATAGATGGGGAAACAATGGAAACAGTGACAAACTTTATTTCCTTAGGCTCCAAAGTCACTGCAGATGGTGGCTGCAGCCATGAAGTTAAAAGACATGTGCTCCTTGGAAGAAAAGCTATGACCAACCTAGATGACATATTAAAAAGCAGAGACATTACTTTGCCAACAAAGGTCCGTCTAGTCAAAGCTATGGTTTTTCCAGTAGTCATGTATGAATATGAGAGTTGGACCATAAAGAAAGCTGAGTGCTGGAAAATTGATGCTTTTGAACTGTGGTGTTGGAGAAGACACTTGAGAGTCGCTTGGACTGCAAGGAGATCAAACCTTGCAGTTCAATCTGCAGATCAAACCTGCAGCATGCCAGGCTTCCCTGTCCATTACCAACTCCTGTAGCTTGTTCAAACTCATAGCAATCGAGTTGGTGATGCAGTTCAAACATCTCATCCTCTGTCATCCCCTTCTCCTCCCACCTTCAATCTTTCTCAGAATCAGGGGCTCTAGTCAATCAAACCTCTAGTCAATCCTAGAGATCAGTCCTGAATGTTCATCGGAAGAACAGATACTGAAGCTGAAGCTCCAATACTTGGGCCACCTGATGCAAAAAACTGACTCCTTAGAAAAGCCCCATGGGGTCGCAAAGAGTCAGACACGACTGAGGGATTGAACTGAACTGAACCGTCAAAGAACCTCCAGGGAGGACCAAGTAATATTCCTTTTCCAGTTGCCTTCCCATTAATTACCGTGTTGAACACGAGTCTGACTCTGGACCTCACACACTCCTGTTCCCCGGGCACCCTGTCCTGGAAAGGCTCATGTGACTGCAGGGCCAGCACCCACATGTACAGGCGGACGCAGGGTGAACACACGGCTGGTGCAGCTGAAGCCTGGGGTCAGCTGGTGAAAGACCGAGGCAGTGACAGTGGTAAGTCTCCTGATGGAGCAAACACAGGAGCCCATGGGCTGCTGGTCAGCCAACCTCAGCACCCAGGCTTCTTGAAGTGGGTGAGGGACCCGACCTAAAGTGGTGGGAAGAGTGTTTCAGGCAGAGGCAAATATTAATGTATACATGCCTGTGTGCATGTGCATGCTCAGTCACATCCAACTCTGAGATCCCACGGACTGTAGCCCACCAGGTTCCTCTGTCCACGGGATCTTCCAGGCAAGAATACTGGAGTGGGTTGCGATTTCCTCCTCCAGGAGATCTTCCTGACCCCTGCATCTCTCGCATTGGTAGGTGGATAGTGTACCAGCAGCATCACCTGGGAAGGCCCAAGAAATGTGAGCACAAAGCATTGGCTGGGAATTAAACCCAGGTCTCCCAAGTAGGAGGCAAGATTTCTACCACTGAACCACCAAAGCCACTCATTTCAAGCAGACGGAGCAGCAAACGTAAACCCTCAAAGTGAGGAGAGCATTTGTGGAAATGCACAGTGACCCGGGCCATGGTTGGAGAGGTAGGCAGTCAGGAGGCACGCAGAGGCCTCTGGACCCTATCTTCTCAAGAGCAATGCTGTCCCACCGACATGTGGCTGAACTACAGCATGTGGGGTCCAGGAAATAAGGCAGACAAGGGTCAGCACCTCCCAAGTCCACCGGAGGTCAAGCAGCAAAACGAGGAGCTCCGGCCACTCGACAGACGCCAGCGGAGTCACTGGACATGGTCAGGCAGCGTTCAGCTCACCCTGTGCCCGAGGTGGCACCCAGGAGCAGCAGCCCTTGCTGTGGTTCTTGAGGAGGAGGGTGCTTCCTCATGACAAGCAGTTTTAAGGTGCCTTCGAATCGCTGGGTTTGGAGAAGATTCTGCACAAGGGAGGCCACGGTAGAGGGGGTGATGTCCGCTGGCCAGGCTTCTAGGCTGGGTGACCAGCTCTCAGGCTGAGAAGCCACATTTATTTCTCTCAAGAGAAAGCAAAATGATTTCTAAAAATGTCACTGGTGTTCAAAACCCACCATGAGCGGGTAGAGGGAGCAGAAGGAAGTTCCGTGGCAGCTGAGGGCAGCCCACCTCCTTGGGTCTCTGGAAGAAGTTTCTCCCCCAGCACGTGCGAGCATCACAGAGGACTTACAGGGGGTCCTGGGTGAAGTCCGTTAGGTCTGGCTTGGTGGGGATTTTATTGTTGCTTTTGGTTGTGGGCTTTTAATCAAGTTGAACAAATAGAAGGACTTAAAGTGTAAGTGTATTATCGTAGGAAGAATTGTGACCAAGTCACTTTACATCGCTACAATCTCCAGGTCAGAAAATTGTAAAGATGAGAGATGATTTCCGAATGACAAAAACAGTAAGATTTCCAATTTATGTCGTCTAACTTAAAGATGATGATTATGCTGCATGTTGCAGGGAGGGTCGAGGGGGAGGGATGGGAGTGCTTGTGTTTTTTTAATCTAGGTAAAGTTTCAAAAACTAATGTAGATTAAGTGGGTCTGAGTGCAATTAAATTTATGAATACAGAGAAAAATATGAAGTTTTATTAACTGTGGAAGGAATGTGGGTCCTTAGCTGCCCAGCCAGTTCATGAAGACCAAGGAGATCAGCTTACAGGGGTTAAATAAACACACTACTTTTTATTATAGCTCAAATGAATCCTCTTGCAGCAAAGCACCGAGTCTACAGTTGGCTTATGAGGTTTTCGTCTCCGGGGGCTCTGCATCTGCCCAGAGAGCAGGACCCACTCTGTCTGGGGCCTCAGGCTGGATTTTTCACATCCCTGGATGGTACTCGTCCTATGTCCTAAATGGAAACCACTGCATAAGAAGAAGGGAGTATAAAAGGACACATGTATGCAAAGAAGAAAAGTGAAGGGGGTGGATGGTGGGACCAGGCTGGGCCTCGAAGTTCTGTGCTCAGAGAGTAGAGAGTGCCCGGATGTGAGCTGACACGTGACATGTGATCATGGACGGAGCAACTTTCAGAAATCTTAGCAAATGCACTCGGGCCGATCCTGGAGACCAGGCAGAGTGGGAACAAGGCTGGGGGGAGGCCACCCTTCCAGTGGCTCAGCTGACCCCCACCCCCAAGACCTCCCCTCCTCAAGGCTGTGTGGCCAACCAGGAGCTTGTTAATTGTGCCAATGATTGGTTTGCCAGCAGCTCTTACAGATTAATATTTCAGGAGTTAGAGACCCAGCTGAGCGTGAAAAGAGCATCCACTCTGGGTTGGGAATCACATTTCAATTCTGCAGAGAAAGAGAAAAAAGTGTTTCTTGAGTGAAGAGGACGAGACTCATTCACCTCCTGCGGCTGCAGACTCCGGCCTAAATTGGCTCCGGAGCTCAGAGTGGGGCACTCATCTGTCTGCCAGGGCCCAGCGCCACGGGGTCCAACCCCATGGGGCCCAGCACCGGGCCAGCCAGGGTTGCCCTGTTTAGAGAACTGCCCCCTGCACTTCAAGTATCTCTTAGTTTTTCTGCAGGAAAATGGCACATTGCTTAAACTTCCTGTGGTTAAAAAGTGCTTTTCAAGAATGTGTTTCCGAAACTAAAAAAAATGAGCTGAGACTGTGTGATGTTTTTCTTACAGGGACCAGAAAGGCCTGGATTCTCTGTGTCCACGATGGGCTGGTTCCGAGCTCACAGTGAGGGCAGGTTGGGGGTGCTGGGGGCTGCAAACACCCTACCCGGGGTCCCATCCAGACCTCCCTGGAGTCCAGGCCCCCCAAGTTCCCCCCAACCCTCGTTTCTCTCCGTACCCCACTCCCCCACCAGATCTCTGGCCCCCTCACCCACCATGGCTCCCTCCCCCTCCCCAGGCACCCTTCCCCCACCCGGGCCTCCCTCCCAGACCCCAGCTCCTTACACCCCAGGACGGTTCCCGCACCCCGCGGGCTCCCCCGGGCACCCCTCCCCTGCAGGCTCCTCCTCCCTGGAGCGTTCTCGGGCCTGCCTATCATCTTCTCTAATTGTTTCCAGATTCGTGTGGGAGGTCAGGCCGCGAGCGCTGCTCCATGCCAAGTTTATAAACAGAGCAGTGTTTCCAGATGTCCGCTGGCTCCAGCCTGGCGAGCAGGTTGATTGGGACCAGAGCAGCAACAGGTGGAGCGCAGACAATGAATTCCTTGACACTTACTTACTCCCTCAACTCTCCTCCCCCCGGCCCTCAGCCCCATCTGCCACTGTCCCCACAGATCCCCAAACGTTCAAATGAACTCCGAGCCTGGAATGCAAGGAAAACAGTCATTTCCCTAATGAAGGCGGGGGTTGGTGGAGGGGGGCAGCATCCCTGTGGACATCAGAGCCTGGCTGGGCCCTCAGGAGGAGGGGTTCGGCGGGGTGCCCAGCCCCTCCCTTGGCCAGGCCTCCAAAGCTCTGCCCCCACCTCATGGCCGCCCAAGTGGGGCAGCTCCTCTCAACAAGTGTTCTGGGAAACGCCTAGGCTTCTCAGGAAGAGGACAGACAACAGGGTCCAGGCCCGCTGCATGCTCAGGGATTCAAAGGGACAGGGTAGGCTGGAGTCTGGACCTTCGAACTGGACAAAGTGCACCCTGGGGACCCTGGGACCACAGCACAGTGTCCTGTCCATGGTGAAGTGGCTGGGCCAGGGGCTCAGTGAAGGCAGCACGTCAGATGCCTCTGCCCAGAGGGCCTAGCTCACAGGCCCTGCAGCGGTTCCCACAAGGGCTTGGATCCAAGTTGAGGGTCCTGGCCGTGGACCCAGAGCCCCTGAGGGCGGGAGGCTAAGCCTGTGACCGGATGGAATCCAGGCTGGCTCAGGCAAGAACCCTCCCAGGTTTAAGTCCCAACCTATAGAAAGTGTTGTGAAAATACAGCACATAAATATCAAAAGCATGTCTGTGAGTGTCTCTGAGTTAAGACTAGATTATCTTCTGCCAGTCTTTGAATCTGACTTTCTTCTTATAAAATGTAACCCGACCCTGGGCTTTGAAGAGCCAGGATCTGGGACCAGGACTGAGCAGTTCATCTGAACTGACAGGACACCGGTGCGGGGGTCCATCCACCCACCCAGGCCCAGCCCAGGCCCGACAACCTGAAGGCCCTGCAGCACCACCGCTAACATCCCGCGTCACAGCCGAGCACACAGATCTAGAGCAGGGCCTGCAGGCCTCAGTCTTCAAAGGAAAGAGTACACACTCGTGTGTCTTTAATTACCTCCACTCCATTTCTACAGGGCGTCTCTGACTGCTGCTTTATCCACAAAGCTCCAAGTACTATAGAAGGAATTCCTAAGGAAACAAATCATGCCTGAAATGAAAGAGCAAGAAAATGAGTTAGAATAAACTCCTGAATGGGAGGATGAGGGGAAAAGGAGGGGGAGGAGGAGGGAAAAGAGAGGGAGAGGAATGTCAGAAGGAACTGGATTTGTCACAATTAACAATCCTGCACGGCACCACCCGCCCACCAGGGAGCAGGTTCTACTCCAAACTCAAAGTGCCAGTGGCTAGAGAGGACCCCCAACACAGCCGGATTCACCCCAGCACCTTGTCCCCGGGGACCACCCCCATGACGGGGAGCACGTCTCCACTTGTGCTCTAAGACCAGGTGTGGAGCTGTGTTCCCACCACAAAGCACAGAGACCCACGACCATGGCATCCCCCGAGCCCATCAGAACAGGGCACACAGCACTTCCTCTAACTCCAAGAACCTGGCTAAACCAAGAGCAACTTCTATAGCTTAAAATCTCAACATCCTCGCTAGGTGGTTAGTGGAGACTGGAACTTGTCCTGTCTACACGATTACAAATGTGCAGCAAAAAAAAAAAAAAAAGAGCTAGTGAGAACATTAGAAAGTGTCATGGAATTTCCTAATTTCACTGATAAATGAAAACCCCTAAAGTATCAGATGCAGAGTGCCACACCACGTGGGCAAGCTGGCTTTCCACGTGCCCA